AAAGCTGAATTTTCAGTATCATTACTCAAGTCTCCACTTCACAGAGCACGTATGGCACAATGCTCAGAAAGCACAGATGTTGTATGGCTGGAGGACTGTATTATCCAATCAGAAGCCATAAACTAGCATACTTCCAGCAAAACTAAAGTATGCCCCTAAATGTAATAAAACATTAAAATTTACTTTGTCTGCATTGGAACATAATAGGTGCTATTTGCAGAAGGAAGAAAAAAAAATAACTAACATGTTATTTTCCTTTCCAATAGAGGAAGGTAAACAGAAATTTGTTGATGACTCAGTGTCATCATTAATTTCAACCTTGCTCTAAGTGTCAAAACACCTGTAGACAGTAACAAAGGCATGATGCAACCAGGCTCAGCTGTGATATTTCTATAGCAACAGCTAATCTTGTAATTTGTTGAAATGTGCTTCATTAATGTAATTGATTTTCTATTGACATTCCACTGATTAAGTGTGTAATCCCCCTTTGGTTTTTTCTCTCTCAAGGGACCTTCATCGCAACAAGAAAACAACTTTATGATTTGGAGGAATGATAATTCACTTGACATGGATGGTTTAAAGATTTCATTTTATTTCACATAAATTATACAAAACCTGTCCTTACATATAGTGTATGTATATAAGTCACGTCACGAACTCCATACACTCTAAAAAATGCTGGGTTGTTTTAACCCAACTTTGGGTCAAATATGGACTAACCCAGCCGTTGGGTTAAATTTTTACATTACATTTTTAACCCAACATTTCGGGTTTGTCCATATTTGACCCAAAATTGGGTTAAAACAACCCAGCATTTTTTAGAGTGTACTCTCTATTCAAAAAACATCTGAAAAACTGGTTCATAACACATCAGACATGTGAGCATTAATAAGACTAGGTATCGTCACTTAATCCAACGGTACTGCGACCTGTGTCTATGCTGGGTCAGTGTGTAGTATAATTTTTATAAATTGGTATCAATTTTAACAATGTCTATTATAGCAAGTGTGTACACTGTATTTATTAGGACTGAAGAACTATATCTGTTTTACGTTTTTTTTATATTTGTATTGTTCATTGTAATCTTTTATTGTTGTTCATTTTAGGTAGACAATTTTAAGATCTGTCCAGGGACAACAGATGAAAAATAGCCTTTTGGCTAATTCTGGTGCATTTACAGTAATGTCAATTAATGTACATTGTCCCTGTCAAATAACTAACTAACTAAATAAATAAATATGTCCTCTGTGTGTGTACAGTCTTTAATGTCACCCTTCAGAAATCTTTCTAATAGAGGCAAATGATTTGCTGAAACATTTATTATGAAAATTATTATTTTCAAATAGTGCTCATTGCTTAATATTTAGCATTTTTTATATCAGTAATTAAATTTGTACTATTTAAAATGTGAATTATTAATGTCTATTTCTGATATCAGGAATTATATTTTCATTAGTACTAACTAAACGAGGGAGGATTGTAGAGGGAGAACTGTACACTCTTAGAAGAAATGGTTCTATCAACCCGGTCTCATCCCAAATCGTCATATAACTGACGTTTTGGGACGTCTTTTGACCATACGTCAATATTCGCCTTTATAGGGCCCCCTTAAACGTCGGTAGATGAGGTTATGGGATCCTAACTCTACCCCATACCTAAACTTAACCCTAAACCTAACCCGTCACCTAACTGACGTTAAAGGTAAAGCGTCAGTTGTATGACGGCCCGGGATCGCCATCTACCGACGTTTAAGGGGGCCCTAAAAAGGCGGATATTGAGGTTCTATCCCCCGCTTCATATATGGAACTCCAAAATGCTTCTATATAGAACCATTTTTTTTGGTAAAAGGTTCTATTGGCCAAGTATGGAACCCAGGGTTCTATATAGAACCCAGAGGAACCCTTTTTTAAGAGTGTATAGAACCTTTTAGGGGTTCCAAATACGTAGCGCTGATAGAACCTTTTAAGGTTCTATATAGAACCTTTTCTGTCAGGGGTGATTGTGTGGCAATGGCAAAGGGTTTACATGGCTCATGGGTCAGGAGGGCCCCTTAACAGATTCTTAGGGCCCTGAGGTCTGGATCAGCTCTGCGCTAAACTGTGAATGGATTGAGTTGAGACGGCTGAGTCTATAAATTACCTCTTATCATTGTTGAGTGCTCTCCACTCATGTTAATTATCTGAATGTGTTCCTCCCGAACTTTGTTACTAAAACTCTCAACAACATGAGAGAAATCCAAGTTCGGACACGGATGAACTCATTGCACGTCACGTACCGGTCGGAAACACGGATATTCATGAAAACAATTAGAAAAATACCCTTTGGTGGACACACAGTTTATGTGCCTCACATTTTATCAAAATTAATAAAAAAATAGCCTAGTGAAATACTAACTCAGAATATTACGCAAACCTGCTTTATGCATTTAGGTTTGTTTGAGCTTCGCCCTATGTACACATGCGTGAATTTGCAATTCCTTCAGCCTGAGGCTTAGCCTATTAACCTATTTCTTTCCAAAAAGAGTAACAAAGTAACACAATTAGCTATATACTGTACTAGCACAATAATGTAACTCTTTGCTTTTAAAAGTAACTTTCAGCACTGCTGAAATCTATACAATAAATAACGATTTTGTAGTACTAAATGGGAAATGATCAAGGTGGAAGGTTTGTGCACCACTATTTGTGCTATAAATGACTCTCCACTGACATTTATAGTATGTGTTTGCTCATAAAATAGATATCTGTATACACTTACTACGCACACACTCAGCCAGCCGACCTCTACAAGAGCAGGGTATAAACGCCTCCTCTCTGTGTGTGATGTGGGCGTGTGAGTGTTGGCGTCTATGGCCGAAAGGTTATTGTAGAAAGATATGAAAGGATGAGATGTTTGCTCGGTGTGCCGGTCGCACACACGCACACACACACACTGACTGCTGATGCATCAGGGCAGAATCTACTTATAAAGGTAGCCGTCACACTTCGGCATCGCTCTTTAACTCCCTCGTGATGACAAATTCTTTCATTACCTCTAATTAGACCTAAAGCCCTGGGTTCACGTCGACTGCCATCAATCAGATACCTGTGGTAGACCGACTCGGAGGAAGAGCTTTATCGACATCCTGTGTTTAGAAAGGCTCTGCCACACTCCCAGCAACATTGCTTCACATAGATTCCTGCAGATTCATAACCCTCCACCTGTGCCTAAATACTCCCAAATGGATTAGGAGATGGATGCAAAGATTTTCCCAGTCCAAACACAGAGATCAATACCTCTCCACCATATCCGCTCAGCATGTGTGTGTGATGGACTGTTTGCAATGAATTTGTAAAATGGCATCACAATCATTGATTATGTGAGAAGACCTAACAACTTTTTGATATATAACAATTACATCTGCTTCGCATACGTCTTTTTTAGTTTTTACAGGTGCAGTGATGAAGGATGCATACTGGCCTTGTCAGAGACAAAGAGCTGTACAATACATTCTTAATGACGTTTTAAGACTTTCCAAGATGAGGGGAAACAATAGAAACAGACAATAATTCTGTTTGACACACGCACACACACACACACACATACATCTGATGTTTTTGGTAACCTAAAATGCTTGGTAAAGGTAGATGTTGGTGAGTCCAATACAGTAATATGATCAAATCAACCTGTCAATTTAGGCGTCTGATCAGGAACAAATAGATCCTGAAAGGGATAGTTCTCACAAATATAAAATAAAAATGTGTAATCAGTCCTCACTCATTTTGTTCCAAACCTAGATCACAGTACAAAAAAATTAGTTGCACCTTATTTTTTTAAAAAAATAATATCTTCTTTTATGTTTTAAAGAAGCCATACATGTGGGGGGTATGTATTTTTAGATCACAAATTTTCATAAATTTTCCAAACTGTTGATCCGTTGAATAGACCATTTCACAAGATGTAAACACTGGTCCAGAAGCAAAACTAAACAACAAAACAAAATTTTTACATGAGTTCATTGCGTAAATCCTTAAATTTAAAATGGTTAAAGTAGTTAAATTTTTAGTTTTTTTTATTTATTTTACATTTTTTATATTGCACATAAATCTTGAATTTGATAATAAAAAGGGATGTTAAGCATTAGTTCAACCAAATGATCAACCAGTGCTGCATGCACCTCATGAACCTTCGGTTGCAAACATATATAAAAAAAACCCAAGACAACGTACAGGGTCAAGTTCAACGCTCGGGAAGAAGAAAAGGACTATGTGTGCACAAAACACAAGAAGAGGGAGACGAGGTCAAGGACGTAGGGACGTTTCCAAGGAAATAAAGGCTTCTTATGTTCTCAATCATGGCTTGTGTAAAACTGTAGTTAAAAAAAAGATTTATCTCAAGATTTATCAATTAGTTTTAAAACAAACAAACAAAAATATTTGCCATACAGAAAAAGTGCGACCATCCCAGCTTACATCAGGGAACATGGTCAGAGTCAGAGTTTTACTAGTGGTATGTTGGTATAATGCATATATTCTACCATTAATACTTTTGAAAGACTAAGGATTTTGAGCAAGTCACAGGCTTTTGCAGGGTAATCTATTGTGTGGTGATGTTTGTACGAATTGTTTCAAGACTGTATTATTCGAGAAATGTAAGGGACTGAGAAAAACTCTTAGAGGATAATTTGTCTTTTCAGTTGAACGCTCAGTTATTAGGCTATCATTCACATGAAACAAATATAGTTACATTGTATAGCAAATATAAGTCACAGGCAGCATAAATTATTATTATTAGCTATTATTTTCCATTCATACATTTAGAAACCGCGAGCAACAGAAAAAGATATTGCTCCTCAAAATAATGCAGTTAAACATACAAAACATGCAATTCCTAATTGAATTGAGCTTGTTGCAAGCTATACACCTGCGTTTACAAGTAGCTATATCTGGCTGCATTGGATTGCATGTGACGTATCTCTCTATCGCTGACATCACAGGTTGGAAAGAGGAGCTGTGGGTTTTATAAAAGCAGTGACACTCAAGGCACAGAGAGATGCGAGTAAACTTAAGAGGTAAAGAGGTCTGTTCGTCATAGCCTGCCTATTTGGTGAACTCACTGTGCAGTGGCTGCACACTGTACCCTACCTACTTATGGAAAGTGAAGACTTTGAGTTTGTGGAGCCACTCACACAGTCTGTCAACACATCAGGCATGAATGATTCACTATTGAACCTGGGTTTGAATATGTCAGAAGTTCTCGTGCCTTTCGCCAACAGCTCGTCTCGTGATTTGCGCCTGGACTATCGCTCTCTCATCACTTCGGCCACTATGTTTGGCTTCGGAGTCCTCGGAAACCTCGTGGCGATCGTGGTGCTTTGCATCTCCAAGAAGGAACAGAAAGAGACCACCTTCTACACTCTGGTGTGCGGGATGGCCATCACGGACCTGCTGGGCACCTGTTTCACCAGTCCGGTGGTCATCGCCACGTACATCGCGGGCAGGTGGCCGGGCGGAACGCTCCTGTGCCATTTCTTCTCCTTCTCCATGCTGTTCTTCGGCTCGGCTGGGATGTCTATTCTGTGCGCCATGTCAGTGGAGAGATATATGGCCATAAACCACGCGTACTTCTACTCTCAGCATGTGGATCGGGCCATGGCTCGGTTCGCGCTGATGGCGACGTATCTGGCGAATATCGTGTTGTGCATCATGCCCAGTTTTGGTTTTGGAAAGCACACGAGACACTTTCCCGGAACTTGGTGCTTCTTGGACTGGCGCGCCATGGACCCCGCCGGTGCCTCGTACACGTTTCTGTACGGAGGTTTCATGCTGCTGTTGATCGCCATCACTGTCCTGTGTAATTTCGCTGTGTGTCGTTCACTGGTCGGGATGAGTAAAATGAGTCGCATGGTGAGGGCAGAGGTATCCGGCCAGCGCAGGTTCAAATTAACATCTGCGGCGGAGATCCAGATGTTCTGGCTGTTGATTTTAATGACCATCGTGTTCCTAGTGTGCTCCATCCCTTTAGTGGTGAGTTATTCAGAAGTAGTACTACTATTTTATTTGTTCTTGTGTAGCCTAATTCATATTATTTATGAATAAGCGCTATACCAGTGGAGCTTGCGTATCTATAGCACGATTGTCATTTCTCGTGGCATTTATACGCCAAAAATGTTTTTTTGCGTGCATATGCTACGCACTGAAACCCCCTGAGTAGGTTTAGGGGGAAGGGGGGTGGGTAGTTCGTACTTATACGCCAAAAAGTGCGTGTCATATGCACTCGAAAAACGCGTACCATATACACGCAAAAACTAGTTTTAGCGTATAAATGGCACGAGAAATGACATTCCTGTTATAGATACAAACTTTCATGAGATCGGGCTCATAATTCTGCCAATCATAACGCAACATTTTATATGTATCGTAAGTAATGATTAAGTTGTGTACAATAATGTGTATTCAAGGTGCAACAAGGAAAATATTTTCGCACTTTTCACTTAGGCATAGTATACTTGTATAACGCGTCAATCGCTATTACTTTCAAAGAGTTGTGATCTTTTCTCATTTTCATGGGATTTAATTTTTGTTCAATTTAACAGGTGCGCATTTTCGTCAACCAGCTGTACGATCCTGCTCACATATCATCAGGCAGAAGTCCAGACTATCGCAGTGATCTCCTGGCCATTCGGTTCGCCTCCTTCAACCCTATCCTGGATCCATGGGTGTATATTCTGTGCAGGAAAAACTTATTAACTAAAGGTTGCACGCGACTCAAGCGTATGATCAGACTGGGGAAAGGGGATCATAGTCATGTTTCGGGTTGGATGGATGGTCAGCATTCACCTCCGTCATTTATGCAAAGCAACTACACAAGTTACGCATCGTTGCGCACAGCCACCTGTAGAAACGACGTGTGTAAACAGACCTTCACAAACACTAAGTCTTATGTGGACTTAACCCTTAGGCAGGCATGGGACTTTGATACAGCCCTGGCTGAGTTTCATCCTTTCAGGGTCGAGCAGAACGGTGTCATGGGTTTTGATGAAGAGGAAAGAGCATCAAGCCCCAAACTCCTCACCAAAATTGTTGTGGCTCCACCAGCCGCTGAAATATTAGAAAATAATAAAGCTGAAATAGTGACCTGCACGTTCAGTACACCAAGTTCATGTGTGTCAGAAAAGTGCATGAGACAATGACCTTAATGCCAATCTAGATTTAATCTGTTAAAGGACAACTCCGGTGCAAAATGAACCTTTGGTCTAATAACACATTGGTACCTAGTCAACCGTTTTCTGAGGTTTGTTTTCATGATAATCGAATGTAAAGAGTTTTATCTCTAAAAACTGTTTAGCGTATAATGTTAGTATATAGGACATAGAGTAATGAAAAAGAAAAATCGCTGTAATACCACTAACAAGGCTCAAAATAGATGTAAAAATAGATGTCCCTACATGTAAACCGAAGCATTGAGGACTTTGTAAGTGTACAGGCATGGTTTGACTGGTCGAGACTGTTGTCCAAGATAGCTCCTGTCTGTATACACAAAGTGTACTGTCTTTATAAAGTATCTTCTTATTAAACAGTCTGTACACTTACAACATTCTCAATGCTTCGGTTTGCATGTATGGACCCTCATTATGTTACTGAGTTGGTGTGGGGCTATTTTGAGCCTTGTAAGTGGTATTAACTAGCGATTTTTATTTTTCATCACTCTATGCCCTATACTAGCGTTATACGCGAAACAGTTTTTAGAGATAAAACTCTTTACATTGGATTATCATGAAAACAAATCTCAGAGAACGGTTGACTAGGTACCAATGTGTAATTAGACCAAAGGTTCATTTTGCGCCGGAGTTCTCCTTTAAGCACTGTGAGGAAAAAAGACTCTTTGTCATTTTACATTCACAAATAATTCTGTGAATTTGCTTATTTTGATTCTGAATGATCCTGATTTTAGGATTAACTCATAACACTTGTATATCTATGTTTTGTTAGATGACATGGATGTGTTTAATATGTGATTATGGACATGCTGCTTCCTTCTACTGTGCTGTGCCACATTGCATGCTGGGTTGTACTTGACTGTGACTTGTCAAACTGTGAGGTATCAATTATGATACCTCAATGATACTTGAATTTTGGTGCTTAATAAACATTTTGTAACATCCAAATGCTCTGATCCATCTGAATTTATGACTTGAATCATTGATATTTTTGAAGTGACTCATTTTAAATAAAGTTGTATTTCCATAAAATTCAAAAAAGTGGATGTGGTAATACACATGTACATTTAAAGGGCTGTCAAAGAGAAAGATAGCCTACTGTTTACAGCCAAAGGGTGTAGTTGTTGCATCAACCAGCAGGGGCGAACTAGCCCATGATGGTTACGCTGGTGACTGGTCTACAGCCAAAATGCGTTTTTTAAATGCCATGAGTATAATGAGGTGCTGAGCATTTTTTACTGGTCGCCGAGAGTTGAAATATGTTCAACTGATAAAACGCAGCTCTCATCACTGTCACTTTTTACCCAGCCGTCCAATCACAGTGTAGGAGGGGTGGGACTAATACCACACCAACCAACTGTCACAAGATTCTTTCTGTACAACGACATCAACAAGCAGAGCTAACAAACAAAATGGATGAAAAATATTTTTTTTAGTATGAAACAAATTTTCTGCAAAATCAGTTAAAAGTAAACTGTGCTGTGGATATTCTGTAGCCATCATAGCAATGAAACGTCTCAATGGAAAAAACGCTGCGCAGCCAAAACGGTCTCAAGGGCCCACATCTATAGGCGTCTTCAGCTGGCTAAAAAAGCTTTGGTGGACACACAGCCTTAAAGGGGTCATCGGATGCCCATTTTCCACAAGCTGGTATTATTCTTTAGGGTGTTCATGTAAAGTTTGTAATATACTTTGGTTAAAATTCCTCAATGTTTGAGTAAAATAACACCCTTTTTACCTCCTCAAAAACAGCTTTGTTCACAGTGACCTGTTTCGGTGCATGTCTCTTTAAATGATAATAAGCAACTGCTCACCCCACCCCTCTCTCCCCAATGGCTAAAGCCAAAAATGTGCTAATATGGGACAGTCGGTCAGTGGTCGTGGGCGGAGCATGAGCATTATGATATCATAGTGGTCAGAAAATGCAAAAGACTTGATTTGTCAGTGTTTGATTTTGCAAAGGGACACATTTCTGTTTAGCCAAAGTAAGCAGAGAGGCCTCGTATGTGTGAACAAAGCAGATAACTTCAAATGGAGCAAATGGAGCACATCATCAATGCTTGCTGGACAGTGTCAACAGATGCTGCATTTAATGAATTCAAGAGACAAGCCAATCAGTTGTTTTAATATTTGAATTCAGCACATCAACATATATAATAAAAAGCACTGAATTTAATTTAATCTAAATTAAATTAAATTAAATCTCTGAAATAAAAGACTTCTCAAAAGTGTTAGATCCGTGTGTCCAGCCAAGCCTTAACTTGCTCAAATCTGGGATAGGAGACAGCACAACCCCATTACAAAGCAATCCACATTTAAAAAGTAAAGTGTTTACATTTACATTTATAATAACATTGGACATTTCAGTCAGTGCCACTGTGCATTAATTCCTATGTAATGTGGCATTGTGTGAAATTACTGCGATGCCACAGAATTTACATTAGAGTCTCGTCTTTTGTTGAATGCTTTTGTTCAGTACATCACACTGATGCTAATCCTTCATTAACACACAAACGAAGGCATTGGACCCAACATGATATGAAAGACTTTGAATTGAACGAGAAATGATGAATACTCACTGCTGAAAGTCACAGCAGTCAATGAGGTAAATTTTCTTTTGAGCTGTTGTGATCACATTGAAGTCACCTTGTGAAACTAACAGAAAATAAAAATGATTAGCCTACCCTACAGCAATAAGTTTATCAGGTGAATTATGAATTGTCCACTGTGAATATTTTGCTTACAATAATAGCATATAGGCCTAGATGCAGACTGTATGCACAGAAGATTGCCATCATAATGACACAATACAATGAGCATTTCAAAACAGACATTTTTGAGAGTTGCCATCACTCAATTCTAAATGTGTGACTAAAATGCCTGGCAGATGAAAACATAGTATAGGCATACAGTGTATATTTAGATCTGATCTTGTTTAAATCTACCATCAAAACTAAGTCAGTAATGCGTGTTTGAACCGATATAACTGTTGAACAATAAGCTTTGTCGTAGTAGCTTTTATTGACCAGCAGATGTCAATACCGCACAGCTTTTAAACCAAATGTTGACCAAACTAAGTTGATAAAATTTTACATTATTTGCTGAACTGTCAAACTGTCAGAAGTTACTTAACCTAAGCTCTTTATTGGCGCCTGTCACGATTTTTGAACAATATTGTCCAGCTATTTTCCAAACAATGAAAGCGAACGAGGACCTTCAATTTACTAAAATAATATCACCATAAAGAAGTCCACGAAGTGCGCCTTAATTCCAAGTCTGAGACCACAGATTTGTGCGACAAACACAACAAAATATGAGCCTAATCCTGATTAACTTCATTAAACAGCCACCGGATCCTTAGTCATTGTCACTGAGTCGATCAGTTCGATTCGTCAATTAATCATTCAGACAGGTGATTTTCAGTGCTGATTTACATTTCGTACACATTTATAAGCATTAGAAGGAATATTTGGAACATAACGGAATATGAACCACTTACTTTAATGATGCATGTGTCATTATGGATCATCAGTCCAGTCAATTCCATAGGCTACGGCGTATCAAGGATAGGTCAATGTAGGCAATGTGTTCCACGTAGTCACAACAAGCCTTCAGGTTTAGAACGACAGGTGTGTGAATTATAACAGAACTTTCATTTTTTTTGGATGAACTAGTCTTTTAAAACAATGTAAGTTTTAGTTTAAGTTCTGTTTTGTGATCTTGTTTCCCCCTGTCTTTTTGTTTTTGGTTTAGTCCTGTTAGTGTTTCCCGCTCTGTTTAATTAGAAATTCCCTTCACCTGTGTTCTGTTAATTATCCTATTAGTCCCTGTTCATTTTGCCCTGTGTTTTCCCTCAGTGTTGATCGTTGTCCATGAATGGTTGTGTTTTCTGAAGTCCTGGAATATTTTCCTTTTTGGTTTTGTTTAAGTTTATGTATAAAGCATCTTCATTGAGATGACAGTAGGCTAAGCTTGCTGATTTGTTATGTGAATAACGACAATAAAATTAGTCTGTTTCTCACACAAGAATTGGAATGTAGATTTTATATAGGCTACCAGGCTATTAGAACTTTTTTTAAATTATGGCAGTAGGTTATAGTTTATGAGCCTCTTTTAGTTGTACATGCCTATGTCAACATAAGCAGCTGAGACAGTTTGCAAAATATCTTCAGTGCTCCAATTAAGAAAGAACTATGGTTTTACAATGATTTAAAGGTCAAAGTAAATTTTGTTGCAAAAACTGCAGACCGTTGTAGAGTACTAATATATTGTGATGACAATGTTGCAAGCATCTGGTCCTAGTAGTGCAGTTATGCCTTAAAAATGCAGAGGAGGCTCCAATCTCCTGTTAATTAAGTTCACCCACGGTGTGAGAGGTGCAGACTCACTGCACAGAGGCCCCTGAGCCACAGCCAGGCCAGTCTGTGAGGGCTGCGCTCATTAGCAGCCCGACAACAGATGGAAACGTTCTTTGCACTTTAGCAGATGAGAGGTTCACCTAGGGCCTAATGGTGCTGTAATGTACATACATGTCTCCAAGCAGTCTACCTGACTACCTGATGATTGCCATTAGCTGAACTGAGACAAGAGGTCAATGGAGGGAAAAGCTCTGTGATGCGGATTAACTTTTTGACGATTTCACATGCTATATACCCAAACTTAATCTTTTTTGGAAGAGTTTGCAGAAAGATGTAAGTCCATTAAAGTGTTTACTTCTGCACCTAAATGAAAGGACAAGAATCTTAATTCACATTATGTATAAACAGCTTTATTCCTATACAGAAAATATGAAGTACAAAAATAAAGAGTAACTTTGCCAACAACAATTATAATTGATAAATAAAACATGTAAAATACTGAAGCAAAGTCATTTATTGTTATCATCAGCTTTTTAAAACAATATTTTTTTGGAGCAGCTTTTAATATTGAAACTGAATACAAAATCAAGACTCTTAAGGTCAGCAGATTGGGAGGACAGATGGACTCGTCGGAACACAATCCATCCCCCCCGTATCCTTAGTGTTTTGGAAGAAAACTATTTTAATTTCCTTTTCATAAATTGAATCTGAGACTTCCCAGTAAGTGCTCTGAGAGTTTTATAACCCTTGGAGGACACAAAAAAGCACCTGATGAAATCACTCAACAGATCATGACAAAGTTATCTACAAGTTCTTCCTACTCCATGAAAACATTGGGTTAAATAGCTCAGTTTTTCCGCAACCGTGATATTTTGCAGCTGACTTTTTTTTCAAAGTTGTTATCCACGCTGGTTCATCACGAGATGACAGGGATTGAAGAACACAGGCCAAGGTATAAACAATAAATATAAACATCCACAAGACACATGTGTAGACATAGTAATAAATAAATAACTTAAATGAAAAAATAAATATGATATCTGTTAGGTGTACAGTAAATGTTAAGGGATGCATGGCATCCATTTGGTAACAAAAAGATAAACAATGACAAATGCATTGTGGTCATCATCCGTGTTGATAAAAGAGAGCGCTAATGAGCCTGCTAAAGCACAGTCTGGTAGACATCACACTCTGCGGTGCAATCAATGTCATTTTATTACTACATATAAACATAAATCCTAAAAATGTCAGGTAAGATGTATCAAGAACTGACTTTTAGCTCAGTATAGCTGCATCCAACTATCCTTTCACATAGTTTAACAATTTAGACGTATGTAATGCTCCCCTAATGTATCTTAATAATAATATTTATATATCCTGCTTGTTATATTAGTATTTGATGTACCATCATCATAAATAAATCATATAAAAAACTTTTCATTGTACTACTGGACTAGACAGCCCCTATTGGTTAAGCATCAAATATTATTTTGTATTTTTAGTTTTTATTCACTTTATATTTCATCAACTTTCTATATTAAAACCTGGCCTTATGGAACACGAACCCTTTTAATACCTCTCACTTTATTTATGGTATTAAAAATGTAAGATAGAAAAATATCAGTCCTGTAAAAATCCTGAGAAATGGAAATCCTACTACAAATACAATCAACCTTCAGCACTTCCAGCTGAAAGGGTAATACTAACTGGCCTGTGTGTTTTCAATGGGCTCAACTTTTAATAATACTCTGCATATGTTTGTGCAATTACATTGAGATTACACCATTAATGTGCTGTTAATGAACGGTCCAAACGTTGCTAATCTGCTTGAAATATTACATGCCAGACTGAAGGCCAGGAAAATGGGCACTGACATCCAGGATCAACAAATGAGTCTGACAAATGAAACAGGGTTTCATTCTGTATCCAAGTCTGATGAAACTCCTAGTAAGCAAATGCCCGTTGAGTTATAACATGTATTTTTTGTTTATAGAGCCATTCAAATGGACGATCCAAAGTTGCAGTTCCGTCCGCAAACTCTCTCTACGTTGAGTCTCTTGTCGACATGGTCTAATCATATTCTACCACCATTCAAGCTATTCTGTTGAGGCTTGGGCTGTCGAGAACACGCTGTTCTGAATCACTTACAGCCAAACCAAATTCCCTTCACCACGGCCAACCCGCCCGACCTCGTTCTGTAGCCGCGGCCCAGGAGGCTTTCCGATTCCTCCTTTCTTCTCTTTGACCATTGCACAATTTCTCCAGGTCACGCTCCCCCTCCCCTCACTCAGCTCTCCTCATCCCACGCACTCACAGTCCGCAGCGGAGAGGGACTTGATGGTTCGCCAGGTTGTGGCGGCATCCATGAAGGAGACCGGTTCGTAGCCCGTGGGGCGGCAGCAAGGGTGTGCGCTAATCTTCCTAGCGGTGCGCTTGGGCAGACTGCCGTTGGACAGCAGAGTGCGCAGAGCCAAGTCGTAATTCCCACGAGACCTCTGGCAGGAGCCGACGCAGAACTTGAAGAGGACAATCTCGTCCGAGTCGAAGCCCATGCCCAGGTCCCGTACGCGCATCTCGCGTTTCTCCACGCGACAGTCCCGACTGCTGTGCCGTCCCCTGCTGCTCTTCTCTTTCTTTTTCTTCTCCTCCTTCTCTTTTTTCTTCTTTTTCTTGCGCACTCCTTTGGTCTGTATATCAGAGGTATCCGGTGAGCGGGGGGAGCGCTCCCATCGCGCTGGCTGCTGGTCGTCCTCGACAAGAACAGATGGCTCTGCGGGAGACACAGGAAAGAGACGTTTATCACCCTGAATAATTCCTTATTGATTCATTGTAGAAATGATTCCCAGACTCACCAAACAGGCCGTGCCACGGGGAGTCACTGCCCTCCTCAAGCTCTTCCTCAACGTTTGGAAAAGGCTCCAAAGGCGGCTCCTCCACCCCAACCCCAGTACCAGTAAATCCCACCGCAACTTCGGACTCTGCTCGAGAACGCGACCTGCCTCCTGCCACTAGGGGCAGTAGAGACATCACAACCCATGCAAGCACCTGAGCAAACAAAGCAAAGGTGGATGGCAAATGAAAGGACAATTTTTCACGGTAATTAGAGCATCTCCAGGTTACTTGAATCAATGGATGCCCTAGCAAAGAATTCGCCCGTTTATACACACCTGCCAGCGTTTCCTGTGACATGGTGCGTTTGTGACTGATGGCATGGCTGGCATTGCTCTGATCCAACTCCTCGGCCACCACCAAACTCCCACCTGCATGCAAAGAACAAAGAATGGCTTTATTATACAGTGACCTACAAGTACATACCAAGGCAGGTAATGTAAACTGCAGAGCGCAACATGCGGGTGACACATACGCATGCATACAAACGTATAATCAAAGGTGTCCCATTCATCACGGTCATAATGCCTTTAGAAACACGCTCATTGTTGTTATAGAGCGAGACCATTGCGATCTCGGAGCGCGACCGGTGCTGACTTGCCTGCGGACAAAGCTACAGTGTTAAAAAGAGCCGTTGTCCATCAAATAAACTGCCTTGAAGCAAACTCTGTCAAAAGCATTCTTGATGTGGTTAGATTGCAGTGAGTAGAAGGAGCCTCGTGCTCTCAGGGGGTCTTACAAGCCACGGAGATACAGGGAAGTTGATAAGAACTGAGCAATGCAGATGTTTATTGACTCATTGCAGTGTGTGACTGTGTAACCTGTGCTGGGGGCTTTGATTTATATCAGGGTCAGGAACGGGGCACAGTGTCTCAGTTAACACCATTCAAACAGCAGGACTCAGTCAAACACGGCAACCCGAAAATGATTGATGAGGACAGACCAATTATTTGCTAGGCCAGTACAGCAGAGTACGCTGTGCTTATATTTTGGTTGTGTAGAGATGACTGAGGCTGGATTCCTTTCTCTCGCTAACCTCTGAGAGATCCGTTCCAGAGGAAATGAACTGATGGCACACTTAAACCCAATTTACAAGAATTAACTCACAATAAAGCACTTAGCCACAAGAGGATGTGCCTTCATTTTAGCATGGTTATAGGGTGTTGTTAGACACATGTTTATGTTAGTGATGTAAAGTGGCTAGTACACTCTCAGAAAAAAAGGTACAAAAGCGGTCACTGGGGCTGTATCTTTTCAAAAGGTAAACTTGTGTCCATTTTAGGTGTTAATATGTACATTTTAGGTGCTGATATGTCCATTTCAGGAGCTAATATGTCCATTTTAGGTCCTAATGTACATTTTAGGTGCTAATATGTACATTTAGGTACTAATATCTAGCCTACATTTTTGGTGCTAATATGTACACTTAGGTACTACTATGTACATTTTAGGTACTAATATGTACATTTTAGGTGCTAATATGTCCATTTCAGGAGCTAATATGACCATTTTAGGTGTTAATATGTACATTTTAGGTGCTAATGTACCACTAAGGTACCAATATGCAGCCCCAGTGACAGCTTTTGTACCTTTTTTTCTGAGAGTGTAGTGCTTACGAAGAGCCAATTTATAATAACAGCAAGATATTGTGCATATTTTTTAACCTCTTAACCGGCGCCCCTATTTTTGAGAATTTTCTGAGAACGACATACCCAAATACGAATGTCTGTAGCTCTTAAAGCATATGGTCATTCATAACTTCAAAAGAAGTTTGTTGTTGTGCCGATAGATTAAGGGTGCAACATGACACCATGACTTTTGCGTAAACACACACGCCACTTTTGAGTCAAGTGGCGTGTTATCTCTACGCATTTTGAGCTATCTGCGTGTATTCGCGTGTATGCGTGTATGTCTACGCCATTAACGTCCGCATCATTCCGCGTGTCTGTCAAATGTCCAGTCATAAATGCCATTAACCCCAGTGAAGGTTAGGTTTAGGGATGGGGTTGAGGTAAGTCATATCTTTTTTTTTACCTAGGATGGTAAGGGAACAGTCATAAATGCCATTAACCCCAGTGACGGTTAGGTTTAGGGACGGGGTTGAGGTAAGTCATATATTTATATAACGTTAAGTCAGCGGCGTTCATAAACACGCTGAAAGGCGATTATGCGTCTTGATAGCACGCCAAAAATGGAAATATGAATTGGCGTGTCATACACACGCTATTTCATGAGATCAGTCTGAAGGGTGATATGTTTATAAGCCAACATTATTTATCATATTTTTATTATTTCTACATACAGAACTATCAACCCGATCACTAAATGCGTCTTTACAGCAGGCATTGTGTATTGTCGTGTAATTTATACGCTAAAGTGAGTTTTTACGTGCATATGATATGCGTTGGTTAGGGTAGGTTTAGGTTTGTGGATTATACATTTGGGTAGAATTAGTAGTGTGGGGTGCGTGTGCATTACACGCAAATGCGTATCAAATGCACGTAAAAACAAATTTTCCCGTGAAACTTACACGACAATACACGATGTATGTTATAGAGACGCATTTACGTGAGAACAGGCTGCAACTATATATATTAAAATAAACAAATTGCAGATATAAAAATTCTACAACTTTGGCTTAATCAATAAAAAAGAAGCAAAATCACCCTTTAGAAACTCTACCGAATTTAGGCATCACAACTTTATAATGTGTACAGTATGAAAATTTGGATATTTGGTAAACATTACATTTAACTTATTAAATTGTGAGTAATTAACGTGAGTGTTAGATGACAGAAAGGGGAAAGTTAAGGGAAAATGAGCATGCACAATTAAATATCCAATTTAAATCTCTACTGTAATATTGGCAAACAACCAATATGGTTTTGATATAGTTCATTCCTAAAGCATCATTTCTAAGATGCTCTTTTCAGTACATTTTATGTGTATGGTAAAGACGACTGTCCTTGCTTCCAATCTACTTTCATTTGATTTTATTTGGTGTTCAAACGAAGAAAACAAGTCATACAGGTGGGAAAAGACATGAGGATAAATAAATGACGACAGATTTTTCATTTCAGGGTAAAACTATCCCTTCAAGCCTGCATTATGGAAGTATTTAGGAAATGTAAGTCATAATGTAATTTCAAATCAAGAAAACTTGACAGTGCACTCACTCTACCTGTCCTGTTCTTTCTGGATCATTTGCAATGATTCTCATATTGTTAAAGAAATGTCATCGTAAAGTTTTAAGGGTCTTTTTTCACGCAGTAGGAAGCCATTCAAGTCAAGTCATCCAGACCCCTGATCTATTCACAAGCTCACCTTTGGACAAAAGTACTTTAGAATGATATACAGAATAAAACTTTACTGCCAAAAAAATAAAAATAAAAACTATCTCGTGTACTCCCCAGGAGCATTAAAGATGTCTAATGCAGTATCTTAAGATCTTCAGTCATCTTGGTTTATTGGCTGCTTAAGGTAAATGTAGAATTTATGTCTTCTAAATCCAGCCAAATAAATATGAACCCGGTTTCAACAGCTTCGGGACATATTTATGGTGTCTCTGGAGGCCAGCTTCAGCTGAGAAACACCACATATGACCAGAGATGAATGTGGACATGCTGTCAAGAGGGTTTATGGCACGGATTCCCACTGAATTGTGACTTCGACCATCTTTCTAACTCCTGCATGTGTTGCATTAAAATCGAAGTGTTGTTTATGCGCAAGGATTTATTGTATTCTGATTATTTTCTAATTATAATTGTATACATATCCGAAACCTCCTTAAATATGCGGCACTTCATCTAAACTGCCATAATTGCTTTGATCATAAGTGACACAAAAGCATACGCCCTGAGCTGCATATGCGATTGTTTGTTTATAAATGGTTTGCGTGCGTGTGTATGAGTGTTATGGCTGTGACTCTGTGAGCGTACACATCTGTTTTCCTGACCACAACAATCATTCTTACAGTCTGGCTGGCTTCCCTCCTTCACTCTTCAGCTGAATGGATAAACCCAGTGCAGAATAACCAGGCTGACCGTAACAAGCAAATCAATATCAGACACCTACAGAGAAACAAGACCAGCTCCACCACAAGAATTCGGAAATTCATCCATTGTAGACTATGGAAGTGCAATCTGGCTAATAGGTGGGTCTGCACTCCACTCGGGGTCTGTGCGGCTCATTTCGTGCTGTCAGTTTCTAAATAATCCCCTTGGCCTCTCGTTCCCTGACGACCCCCCACCTCACTGCTTCCTGTAAGCTGAGCTGGCACGCTGGGGGCGCAGGCCAGAGGTTACGATAAGAGCACTACCTGCCTCTCAAACGCACAGCAGGCCTTTACAGCCAGAAAAGCTTTGAAAACGGTTTATGACACAACAAATTCACACTTGCAAATTATTAGTTAACAGCTCCTGATAAGGCAGGCATCACTATTATTATTGCTCACACTAAGTCAGGGGCTTGTTCTAAACCAGTTCGAATTCAGCTTCGGTGCATAACCCTGCATTTCCAGCGACATGACAAAGTTCTCATTGTGGAGCATCACTACTGTATTTATGAACAACAGCTGAACTGATATCTTTCTGACATTATTTTCATTTTATTTCAGTTTTATAGATTATGATAAAACTTGTTTGTTACATATATGTGCAACATTTCAGCCGTAAAAAAATTAGCTAGTTTGTTCATTTACTGTCTAGCTAAATGTCTATGCTGAAATATAATTAGATAATGGTTTGTATTAAAAAAAAAAAAACATTATTGCAAGTATTTATGTAGTGACTTATGGTTTGCACTTCAGAACTTCTGTTAAGGGAACTTTTTAGTGCAAAGTGCTGGCGTAGACCATAAATAATACGATTAATAGCAAAAGTACCTCGGGCACACGCAGTGTTGTGATGCGTATATTTACGTATGTTTTACGACTTATGAATGTGCCTATGTTTACTTTCGTCTGTCATCTTTAAAAAATGGTCAGTGCAAATCAAAATGACAGTTAAATTCACAGTAGCTCCAGTGAAAATAGTGCCCTGGTTTCTCTGGTTCTGAATGCAGCAACCAGGCACATGCACTGAAGTTTTGTTCAGAATACATAAATGTACATTTAAACGAATATGTGAATCAGATTGTAAAGTTTTGAGTTTATATCAACAGAACTTTCAGAAAATTAAATCTGATCTGATTGAAGAAAATTAGTGCATGTAAACATACCTATTGTCGTCTTAATAATTCTAGTTTCTTAATGGTTCCATGAACGATTCTTTAAGTATTTCTAAAAAAAAATAAATCTATGGAAAAAACGAATACAATTCCATTACTAAACGATGAGATCATTTCAATAACAAATACATTTAAATCACTTTAG